CGCGCTCGGCGTGTTCGGAGTACTCATATTCAGACTACTATATAGAGCAATACCAAATGGGGTACGACGAACTATAATCTGCCCCCGGGTTACGCGACATATCTTAAAGGACGGAAACATTTATGTAAACATGGGGGCCCAGTGTTGGTTCCAAAAATCAGGGTCCTAAATGAAAGGAAACCCTTGCAAAAAAATTGCGACAGAGTGCAAAATTGACTTTTTCACAAACATCTCAACAACGGCTCGAAATATAAAGAGAAGTTTTTAGTAAAAGTTGTAGAGAATTTAATTCTCTACAAAAAAGTATTTATATTATTTTTCCCTATCTCTTACCGTTCATCAGTTAAATGCGATTAAAGAGACCGTAGAATGTAAAATTTTTTAAGAAATTATTTCATTGTTACAAAAATTTTTTTTTTTCAAAAACTAACACATTAGAGCACTTGTTTATCACTCTGACAACATTCTCTGAGATTTTCTTATTTTGTTCCATGAGCTTTTCATTAATTACTATTAATGTGAAAATTTTAAATTAATTTTTTTAGCATTTAATCGAATTGGATGTTTTTTCCCCTTCCATTCGATTCAGCATAAAATTTGCGATAAAATATGTTCTCTAATTTGGATTTCCATTTTCATCCACATAAGAAATATTAAAAATAAGAATTGGAAGACTAAATTTATTACGTTACTCTCGCTGAGAGAAAACGACATATCTCCTTTTTACTCGCACTCATTACATTTTTTCTGCACATGCGCAGTGCATAGAGAAGTGTAAGTGCGAAAGAGAACGCATACTCCTACAGTGGGAACGTAAAGAACAGAAAAGAGCCCAATGGTTCCCAATGTAAACTTATAAAATTTTATTGATGTCATTGTTCTATATAAATAGTCAGCAGCTATGAAAATTCTTGGTTTTGAGTCAAAAAGGCTTTTTGACGCAAGTATAAAATCCTAAAAAATTCTCCTAAGTTTTCATTACTCTTTTTTGACCCAATTTTCCATACTTTAAATCGCGCGAAAATATTATTGTCTATTACGATCTCAGTTTCTTTTAATCAGATGATTTACCACGTGATACACCATCATTCCACCGCAAATTTCATCATTGATCTTTTTTTGCTTGTTCGCTTTAAGAGCTTGAATCATTGATGAATTAAACTTTGATGTTATGAGGACTAAATGAATATTTTGAAATCGCGTTAGAAAATATTCTACTGATTTTTGTGTTTTCCAATATAATCTAATCTAATCTTATTTTTATCTTTTCTGTTATAACTGAAATTCAATGAAAGTTCGGGAGTCATTGTGACTTGCAAAAAACTATTAAGTGTTGACTGTACATCTACTCCACCGTATTTTTCTAAATAATTTTGTAACATCGTGTGCTCAGTTGTATTATTTTCATGGATAAATAAATTAAATTCGTCACTATTAAAAAAAATTATCACTTTTACATTTTTTACATTGTTGATATTTTTTAATATGATGATCTTGTCGCACCGGTCCATTATTATGCATTTCCATCAAGTAATTTTTATTTCAGTTCTCTGAAATTTCCTGATTGGTATTGTAATTTTGATCTTTATAAAATCTGAGAATATATTGTTGGAGAGAGCGATGAGAATTCCTCATATTTTTACGAATTTTCATCATATTGTTCTCAAAAGAGAACGCTGAAAAAAAATCGAGATAAAACATTTTGAAAGTGACAATTTCGTTTCAGTCTTGACATAAATAATAATTGCTGCATGATAATTAACAATACAATATGTAAAATTGCCAATATTAAATCACGTGGAAATGAATTTTACTTTATAGTTCGAATATTTGAAACCCGTAACTTCGTGGATGAACATGGAATTACGTTCGACGTCCCCGGAATTTATAGTTGTTGTAATTTGTAACGTAATTATTAGAAAATTTCCGTCGAATTTGTTAGGAGAAAATGTTATAGAATGCCATTTTTTTGTAATAATAGTAAAAATAGTGAGTTTTTTGCACATTATTACATGAAAAACGTAAAAATTAACAAAATTTCTATTTAATTTTCTTACTGCTGATTGTTTTTTAATTGGTTTCAGTCTTAACCTTTTTCAAAGCGTTCTAGAGGAACGAACAAATTTGGTCGACAGGTGATAAAACCATCCAAATATTATACTACTTCATCGGATGATGAGTCTGAACGCCGGCAAGTAAAACTTAATTCTGAACTGGGTAATATTAATGGAGTAATGAATAATATCAATGAAAAATATTGTCGTGAAACTTCCCAAGTTCCACTAATTGCTATAAATAATGATAATGATAATTTAACGCAGGTGTCTGCCGTAATTCTGCCGCAAGACTTATGGAAAAACTACCACAGAAATCCTGCGTCAGGCTAACGTCTGTCCGACCTAATACTCTAACGTTAGATACAAACGTTAGTATTATGTCTTTCTGTTCATCAGAAACGGAAAAGACGTACGTAGTTCTGATGATCAACATTATGGGTAAAAATACGTCAATCTTCCGTTAGTCTGACGTTGATTTGGTAATTAGGGTAGATGTCATGAATGAACAAAGTAGACATTATTCTAATTCAAATCTAAAAAAATGGTGTAATTTAACTTTCCTGTGTCATAAAAAGCTTGAAACAGAAGCGGTTCACTGACTATAAACTTCTTATTTATAATGTGATTGGTTGGAAGAAAAAAAAATTTATTGTCTATAGAATGGTTTTATTAACCTTTAGCTTCAAATTGTTAAAAAAATTATGAGTTTAATTTAATAAAGCAGCGTGCAAAATGTGCTTGAAATCATTTCATACAACCCGGGGAAAATAACCATATCTAATTAGATTTGATTAGATCGGAAACTGTAGATAAAATTAGATCTCAAAATTGGCCATATCTAACAATATCCAAATAAGTCTAATCCTATCTATTAAAACTCATGACTTACTGTCAGACAAAGAAATACAATTACAAAAGCCGTTCATAGAAATATAATTAAATATTTATAATATTTTTTTAATAAAATAATAGCGATTACAATTTAATAATGATAATAACATAAACAAATTTTAAAATTACCGTAATAAATACCAAAAAAACAATAATTAAAGAATACAAAATTTAATCGACGAATCAGAAAAGCGTAACTATTTTATTCGTGCACTGATTAGTCAGTTTTATTTTTAAATTTTCGAAATAAATAAAAATAAAAATCAAATAATTTTTCACGTTGTTGACTTGAGACAGCGCGTTTGAAGAGCGCGCAGTGTATTTCTAGTTAGATTTTAATAGATATGATTCTGCAAGAAAAAGTTATCAAATCTTATCCAATATAATTAGATCTCCAATATTAGATTGGAGTAGATCTAAATTTTTTCATTTGAACTAGATCTATTCTATCTATCTTTCAATTAGATCTATTTTAATCTAAAATATTAGATAAAATTATATCTTGATTTACCTCGATGAGAACAGATCTTATTAAATATAGCTGGAATTAGTTTCAGAGGACAATATTAATAAAAATAAAAATTTTTTTGAATTTAAATCTTATGGTTGAATACATATTGTAAGTTCATAATTATGATGTCGTTTCACTGCTAAAAATCACTTTTGAAGTAAAGTAATGAACCTTAGGTTAACTCGATCCTAGACCCTTGTAATCGTAGACTTGCGTCGTCACCACTACGCTAACTCAGAAAACTTAAGATACTATTTTTTTGTCACACGTGCGTGGTAACTACTAGGTTACCGCACGGATTTCCATACGGTAACGCTCCTATTGCCCACGGTAAGTCTGTGAGCCATAAAACCCCGGATTGTTACTATAACGCACGGGAACCTAAAGACTACTTACAAAGGCTTAGGAATAACTCACGTTAGTTCAGTGTACCGACAAATAAGCGTTGTATTTAAATAATTTATTGTAAATTGTTTTATTTTTTATTTACAGGGGGATTTTACTAATAATTTAATAAAAAATTTTTTTTTTCTTTTGCGGGGGGCTCCATCCCCAAACCCCCCGTTTTTCTTCCCCCAACTATCCGTCCTCAACCCCCCTGAACGAACGCCTCCGCTGCACTTGCGATGAAAAATAGCATACGCAACACGGGCAGTAACTAGCCGATGCCTATGGTGGCAATAAACGCACTCGCTTCGCTCGTGCGTCTAACATTGCCACCGTGGGCAATCAGCTCGTTACCGCCCTTGTTGCTTAATATACTATTGAATTATTTATCTGTATAACTGCGGCTATTCATTCTTATCACATATTTGTATGCAACCAAACTCAATTGAGATTATATTGTAAAAAAGTTAAAGAAATACATAAAAAATAATCCTGTCCCTCTTTTAGACCTTTGTAACATCACAAAAATTTTGATACATTAAATTTTATCTATCGGAATTTATAAAAAATTAATTCCAATATGATTGGATTCGATTGAGTATGAGAAGAAATGTTAGATCAGATCGGATCAAACTTGTTTTTCAGCTGTTAAATATCATACTCGATTGGATTAGATTGAGGAAAAAAATGGAATATTCGATCAAATCAGATCGGACTTATAGTTTGCCGTCGAATATTAAATACAATTAGATCTGATTTAGTGTGGAAATGAAATATTGAATTAGAGCAGATTAAAATAATTGTTAGCTAATGTAAAGCTACAAATTGTATCTACTTGGATCCAGATAGATCAGATAAAATTAAATAAGATCTTTTCAATTTTTCTCGAGAAATTACTAGCTAAAGTCTCGATTCAGTCAATTCAATTTTCGATCCAGTTGACGATGGATATTTTACAAAGCCATGCTTTTAGGTAATTTTATTTAAATAATTTGTGGAACATCATTTCTTTTATACCTTTGCAATTATTAACTTTATGATTTATAATTATTTTTACGTAATACGCATGACGAGATTATACACATTTATTTTGTTAAATATTCTCATCTAATTATTAAATCGATTATTATGTATGGATTGAGTAGACAAATGAATTCGTGTAAATATATTTATTATACATAAATGTGTATCACAATTCACATAAAGGCATCAGTACTACACGTAGCAATCAAGCTTCGCGTTATTTATCATAATTATTATTACAAAATATTATCGTAAAAAACACACTTCAATTCAATATTAAATCTTTTTTTGTTGTTGTTTATTTTTCTTTCATTCGAACTTTTTTGTACCCCGGCTATTACTGGATGATATCCGATAAATTATCCAGAAAACAATGTTTAAATCTGATAAGATTTTTTGTAATTATTAGAAAGAAGAAAAGAAAGGGTAAAGAGGGTTTTAAACAATAAAACAAAAAGTATAAGTATATCATAGAGCTGTTATTTTAGTAGCGACTAGATTGAAAAGCCATAGTTTTATTACGAGCAATTAACATAAATTTAAAACTGGTAGCCACCATTAAATCATGACGGATATTTTTTTCACTCTGCCATCATTAATGTTAGATGTGTTATTGAAGAAGATGTATTAAAGTAGATGAGAAGATATCTTTTCAATTTTGTTACTTGAGCTGATAAGATGAAATTGAAGTGATATAGGAACCGTGTAGGACTTATAGAAATCACTTCTGTCCATATGAATTGCCTTATCTCCGATGTTTATGATCTATTTACTCCTCTGCAAACTTTTATTTAAACTAGAATTTGTCATCATTAACTTGTATGTCTCGTACTGTGAAGTTTTTTGCTATAACGGGGATGTAATCTTCAACTCCTACTATCACTCTTTTCATTGGATTTTTAACGGCCTTGTAGGAAGTTATTGTAATGGGTCTGATTTTACGCATCCCAAATTTTAACATATTTTCAATAGCATTTGACACATAATTATGCAACTTAAAGCTGGTTACGTTTTCAGCAAAATCGGTCCAGCTTTTTTTGTACAGAATCAAAAAAATAAAAAAAATAGGTCTGGACTTCGTTTGTGCCCTAACGACAAACTTCTCATTAATTGAAATCCTTAATTCTATGATCTTTTAGTATTTTCGATTATAAGAAATTACTTTTATTATAAACAATGTATAATTGTCTAATCATATCAAGTGGTTTATAAGAATATTTAATCGGTATTAATCGAAGATAGTTATAGTCATGATAATTCAAAAAATTAAAATCATTTTCAATTATTCATTATAAATTGAATTTGTTCTAGTTAATTTGTTCGAGTCGATGTGTTCAGTGATTCTCAACATATCAAAAACGAAAAAAAACTTGACATACGCACGCATGTGCGCACATACATACATCTATATTTAAACCTTCGAATATAGTTCCAAATTTCTAAAAACGTAAAGATATGATAAAATTACGAATTTCAAAAATCGACCCCATTATAACAGCTTCCTAATGGGAAGTTAAAAATGGTAAAATAGCTAAATTTTGCAATGAATGCAAAATTTCCGCTCCTAATCTTCTTTTAATAATGATAATGATGATAATAGTCCTGGTGATTGGTGCCCTCGGAGGGATGACGGAACGCTTTCTGACAGAGCTGCGAACAATACCAGTCTGCCGTAGTCAGGCTGGGATTTTCACAGCTCGTATGCAGAAAGCGGTCATCCTTGGTTCTCTCAGAATCCTAAGACGGCTGAACTAATGACTGAACGGCTGCAGCCCCGGCTCACCCTCAAACCTGAGGGAGTCGGGTGTCTGCAGGATAAACTCTGTCTGGTTAGGCCCCAGGTGTGTTGGAGCCCTGGGATCTCTGGCCAGGCATCCTTCGATAATAATAATTATTACAATCATTATGATAATAATAATTGATTTTAAAAACAATAAAAATTTGTTTTTTCACTGGGACGCCAGTCATGTCGGCTTTTCAGGTTGTACCCAGACCATTGGAGAGCACTGGTATTATTTTTTATTTTATGAAATTAATAGAATATATTGGCGCAAAAAATTAAATATTTTTAAATTTATGTTGGTTACTCGTAACTGAATCGAACCATGAACCACCGCTACTAATGTAAAAGAACGAAACTCTGAAGATGTTTAGGTATCCTATTAATATCAATATTCGATTTCCTGACAGCTCTTGCTGCAAGACACATAAGACTAACATATTTAAGACTATGTGATGCATATTGACGCTTATCATTAATTATACACACAAAAGTTTTTCCACGATTATTAACAGCATCGTAATGTGCACCTGACTCTAACAGTATTTCTATTAAATCTTCTCGCCATGGGTCAGACATAGCTATGAGATGTAGAGCTGAATTACCATGTCCATCAACAGAAGTTGGATCTGCACCAGCTTTTAATAAAGCTCTTGATAAATCCGCCGAGCATATTTCATGAATTGGATGAAGATTTTTTGATGTTGTATCAGTGTAATGGGCCATCTGAAGCACGTTTCGACCCTGGAAATAAATTTGATTCGTTTAGGAATTGTTTTTCTTAATTTAATTAATCATTTAATTAATTAAATTAAGTTGTTATTAATTAATAACAACTTACCGCTTTATCTTTAGCGTTGATTCGAACTAATTCGTAAATTTCTTTATGTACAATTTCGGATTTTCCAGTTCCAGCATCTGGTTTGAATTGTACTAATAAATCGGCAAGGTATAAAGCAGTTATTAAAATACGATCCAGATTGTTGGGATTTCTATCGTTGTAGGGAATTTTTTCCAACATTTGCTTTCCTACTTTTACCTCAAGTACCTGTAACAATTAAATTGAATGATTGTAAATTTTGGAAAAATCTTTAATAAACAAGTTATAGATAAATATGACCACATTGGAAACTTTCGATATCGTTCATATTGCACGTAGAATAGTTGATTTTAATTTCTTCAACCACATATGGGGAGAAAGTACTATTTCAAGGCACGAATTTACAGCCAATGAACAACATATTTCCATTTATGAATTCTAAACTATGAAAATTTGAAATAAAACATGTCAATGTTCTTTCCTTGCCACAATAGAAGTAATAATGTTCGGTTAAATCCGCATAATTTTTGCCGTTTTTTCTAGAACATGAATTTTTATTGCATGCAAAAAAATCTTAATTTTTTCCCTATTTAAGTTGAAGATAAGTGAGAATGCCTTTTAGAAGTTAAAGTGGCTCCCCAGGTATGATTTTTAGATCTATTGCTCCTGAGAGTAACAGTGAGAGATATATAAGACTTTACTAAGTAGATTTTTTACGGGTTCTCTACGAACGTTGAAGTTTACCCACCTCTGAGTTAAATAATAATTTCTTTAAAATTTTTTTTAAATAATAAGCTTACCGCCTTTTTGAAAACCCTCATGATTTCATCATCATTTATGGGAGGAACTCTTCTTCCTCTCACTGGCAGCATAGGTACCTTTCCTAGCATGAGTCTAAAAAGATCGATAAAGCTATTAAATGAGCTTTGTGTCATTGAATTCAATGGTTCTAATACACTTTGTTGCATATCGAGAGCGTAATTCCAAAGCTCAATGCATCGATCAAATTGTCCAGAATCGGCATACATAGCACCACGATGTCTGATGTAATAACTAGTATCTGGATGCACTGGACCAAGAATTCTCTCACGGATCAATAGAGCTTGCATCCGCATCTCATCAGGATCAGCAAGTAAATCGTCGAGAGCTGCTAGATCATTGACTTCTTGAGCATAATCATAAGCTTTAACTACTGGTAGCCTTGGTAGTTTTTCAAGAACTGGTTCATCACCGCGACACCTTTCTTCCATCGCTCGTTTCCAGCACTCTAATGCTCCAAGTAAATCTCGTTTCTTATCAACATAAGTAGCACCTAGAATCTGTAAGGCGTCAATCTTGTCTTTGTGTAACACTAGTTGTGGCATTCCAATCAAATATTCCACTATGTTCATATGTCCTGCTATTGCAGCTGCTAGTAATGGGGTCATTCCACAAGAGTCCACATCCATTCGTGCTCCATGATCCATAAGGAGTTTTACAATCTCCAAAGATCCGCTTTCTGCACAGTCGTGCAGTGCTGTATTGCCTTTTAGCGATTTTCGATTTATATCAGCATTTAAAGCTAATAGTAATTTTGCTATTTCGACATGCCCACGAAAACATGCTATCATCAGACAGGTGTGACCATGTTCGTTTGCTATCTCGATATCTGAAAAAAACATATTTCATTGGTAATCAATCTAACCAAGGTTGAGTCTAAGCACATAGAAACTTGAATGACAGAAAAGCTTGCATGATTAATATTAGGCCTCCCTTACCCTACGGCTTGACACTCTGATCGCTTTACCTCGACGCATGACTTTATCATAAGTCATGCATTGATCCATCGATGGAGAAAGTACTAGTAAGGTCTTTGTACTCGTATTTCACAAAAACTTTATCTTTACCTTGTGAAGACCTCACTCGGTCTGCTTATCACTCCAATCGACGAGCCTTGCTTTTACATTATTAATTATTTTTAAGATACTATGGCCTTAAATTAAGTACTAACTTTAACATTTTAGAGTTATCAGCAATGTATCAGAGGTAGACGAATGCAAATACATTTCTTATATTTAAAAAAAAATTCTTAAAAAATAGTTTATTAAAAGATATTGCTTATGACATCTTAAGAAAAATATTTAAAAAGTTCGTGATGCAAATAAAAATCTTTACTAATAAGAATGATTTAATATCAATTAACTGATGATAATTTAACGAACTATTTCATTCTATATAATTTTTTGGAGGTTAATGTACCTTTCTATAGCAGTATATTGAAGTATCAGATACCTAAAATTTTTAATTACCTGCGCCATGACTAATAAGATACTGAACAATTCCAATATGTCCATCAAAGCAGGCAGCACGCAAGGGGGTAGAATTAGTGGTGGTAGTAGCATTGACCTTGGCTCTACTCTCCACAAGCAGTCTCACCAGGGAAAAGTGTCCAGCAGCAGCAGCACACCACAATGGTGGCGCACCAGTGATTGTTTCGCCATCAAATACGACTGAAAACAAATAGATTCATTTGATTCAATTCTGATAAAAAAATTGATTTATGGAGAGAAAGGTTATTATATGGTATAAAAAAGACAGTTCACTTATAACACGGAATAATATGCAGATGAATTCAACCATTTTTCAATATTTTTTTCATCACTCATACGGAATAACTACTACTGTACCGCACGCATCTCCGGGCGCAAACTCTCCGATTGTCCACTTTAGGCCTGGAAGCAATAAAACCCCGTGCCGGGTTTTATGAAATAACCGCACGGATACTTAAGGAGACTTAAGAATAACGCACGGATACTTAAAATGAAAGTAAACTTTAAGGATTATTTTGTCTAAATCAATCCTTCTATTTTTCTTTTTATGATATGTCACGTGTCCAACATCTGTCTAGTAGTTTTTAAGTAAGCAAGAATATTTTTTAAGCTAGATGCGTATAAATAAAGAGCCAAACAGTCGTTACGATAGTTTAAGATTATTTAAATGATTTTCTTTCGTCCATATTGTTCATAGACGATCATAAACATTTTCCCTTACCACTCATCTTGAAGCGTGCGTTATTTAATTTTCTAACAAACCATTTGCCCTTAAATATCATTGTTCTGAGAATCGTTGAAGAATTTAGTCGAGTGGAGTTAAGATTGAATTAGATGATGGTCAAATTATACATTTACTTTTTCCAAAGTGTACCAACTTTATTATAAACATTAATTCACGAAGAATGAGTGAATAAATTGAAAAATAAAATTAAAAAGATTTGAATGATTTTTTTTCTTTGCGGGGGGCTCCACCCCCAAACCCCCCGTTTTCCTCCCCCCGACCACCCCTTCAAAACCCCCCAAACGAATCCCCTGCCGCACTCGTAATGAAAATAAAAGTAGAATGTGTAACTAGGGCGATACCTAGCTGATTGCCCATGATGACAGTTAACGCACTCGCTTCGCTCGTGCGTCAAACCCTGCCATCGTGGGCAATCGGCTAGTTACCGTCCTAGTTGCACAATATACTATTACTTTTCGCCCAGTAGCCGTCATTTTAAGTCACCGAGGAAATCATTTTTACACAATTACACTGAAAAAATATTGCTGTAGAAATTATCTAAATAGTCCAGTGCCAAAAAAAATATCTCAGAAATTATTGGTTTATTAAAGAGAAAAAAATTTTTAAGATTATTGTAACAATTACCGAGGAAAGCACGTGTGCATAATACTTTTACTCAGAATTAATTATTACTATTGTTTAAACAATGTCAAAGTTTTGCAACATGCGTTTTTTCCCTTTCACTGCTTACGTAGCGAAAAGGGTGATAAATAGGAAAAAAAAATGATAATATTTTTGTAGTAAATTAAATTCTGCACAAAAAAATCCGCATGTGTACCTGCTCATGTGAAACAGATGGAAAGATCTTGTTAACAAAATTGTCAACAATATTTTTACAATGTAATGAAACTTAAAATTAACAACCATTGAATTATTTCAGTTCTATTGTGTTAATTGGTAAAGTTAAGTGTCAAGGATATTTTAAGACAGAATACAGTGTAGGACTTCTTGGTAGAATATCAAATTCGCTAAAAAATTCTTAGAAGTCAATCCAGCGATCTCATCCTTTTATACTGAGTGTTCACATTAAAAAAACAAGGCAATCGAAAGAGTGGGAGTAACTAATACACCGCCCGTAGAGAGAAATGTTTTTCTAATTTTCCTAATTGCCAAGAAATCTTATTGCATATCAGATCTAGGAAAAGCTTGTCTTCACGGAATCCTAAATTTTGGGTCGCTTTTTTTACATTAATAACTGCGAGTAAGTGAGAAACATCTTCCTGGAGAGCTCGTGGAAGGCAAAAGAGCCCAGTTTGCTATGCTGTGTATTCAGCTATTGGTGATGATAAATACTATTTATGCGAATTAAAAAAAAAAAAGTCTAAAAAAATTTTAGCAGATACAGTAAATGTCCAGAAATGGAGCTTTTCAAAAGATTTAAAAAGATTTAGGTTTTTACCTGAGCCTCGTTGTTCAATATCAGCATCACACTTCTCAATGAGATATTCAGCGACATCAAAATGTCCATATCTACAGGCAATCACCAAGGGGGTGGCTCCATTAGTCTTGGTACTCACCAATTCTTTTACTACGCACCTATCTCTATTATCTAAGTACCGCTGAAAAAAATAAAAAAATAATTATTTCATCATTACATCATAAGTATCATAATAATTTTTATTTTTATATTAAATACTTGAACATACGTCAACACCTACACTAGACAATATCGAACCCGTGGTGATTATTTTTTTAAAACAATCAAAAAGATAAAAAAAATTTTAACGTCAGCACGTTGATGTTGAATTAGAACTACTGGTCAATTCTGGAGACAGAACTCAACTTGTAGATACTGAAGATGAAACTGATGCAAAAAACACATCAACATCAATTCAATTTCAATCGTTTTAATGAATGGATAAATCAATATTTAAAAAATATTGTAATTTCTTGGTAAAATCGTAATCATAAAATAACCCAAAAAATTTTGTATGCTTTTTACATCACGAATATCAATAATGAATAATCGTTTGTTTAATTTAATATAAAGGTTAACTCCCAAAAAAAAATCACTGGGTACACTAATTTTTTAGATGAAAATAATAACAATAAAAGTGAAATTAGTCGACTTTTATTAAAGAAGACTTTTTAACAGTATTTCTAAGAATGCAAAGAGTGTTGGACACCCACGAGAAACGTCAAATATGTACTGATGAAGCTCAAACACTAAAGAACAGTTCTTAACATGAGAAGGTAAAAAAAGGAATGTTTTATGTATATCTCGCTTTACCTACATAAAGATGTGTATTTCTATGGCCTTCTCTTTCTTTTTCATGAGGTCCCATTATCCAGATCCCGTTAACAAAGAATTGAGAAGATTCCAAACACCAATATAAAAAAAAACCACACAAACATTTGGCCTAAATTTTCTTATTTTCCCCACCACCATTTGTTGATTCATTCTTATTAAGTACATGAAAAGTTGACAAGCCATTCAGCCAATGACTTTAACAAATGGATTCTTAATATTATTAGTATGTTGTTTAGCTTTATTTAAAGGTCAAGTTAAGGTTATTATCATAAGATTGAAAGAGAATTAGATGGGAACATTTGGGATAGAAGTAATGTTTTAATTAGAGACTTATCAGAATCATCGTTCTAAAATATTTTAAATATTTAAAGTTGGCAAAAAAAGCCAAGGATAAGACCTCATGTTTAGCATTCATGTGTTTATCTTATTCATTTTAGTAGCAAAGAATAGGGAGAGTTAGAGATTATAATCGAGAGAACAAAAAAACAGTGACGTGAGTACAAGGTGAAATGTGATAAAAATACACAAAGTTTGAATTTATCTGGAATTATTCAAACAACATTTTTCTTCTTTTTTAGCTTGGATTTTTAATAGGTTGCTAGACCTTGGTGATGAGAGGAAGCGAAACCATTTGAAGAACAATGACCTTTCGATTGTGTCATAAATCTTGTAATAGTTTGAAAAAATTTATTATTGTAGTAAGATAAGGGTAAAATGAATTGGTAAATATTTAGTTCGGTAATTAAACAGCTGAACCCCCTCACCTTCGATTGTCTTGAAATTTTGACATGTTGTAGAATTCTGTACACAGAACAAAAATAGACAAGCATGTAGGACATAAGAAATATATCTACATATAGTTGTTTAATGTAAATAATGAAAACATTGAATGATGTGTGACTGATACTTTATGAGAACAATGAAAATTAGCGCATTTTCTAATGATTATTTCCCAGGACACTTGGTTCTAAACTTTTAGCAATTCCCCCTCCTACTTTTTTGCTTTCTTATCACTGCCTTGATTTAAAATAAGCAAACATGCATCGACTAGACATTCACTCAATATTTTATTAATATTGACTTGAGGTTTGACCTATTTTAATCATTTAATGAATAACTTCAATTTTGAATTATTTTGTTACTGCATTAAATTTACAGTTCTTATGTTACAGGAAAGAAACAGCTTTACTGAATTTGTTCGAATTTCTTCGGATTTTCTCCAGTATGTTGTATTTTAAATGAAATTGGTTCGGAGTCGATATCTTCAATGGTTCTCGAAATATCAAAAACAAAAAAAATCTAACACACATACATTGTCGTTGTCATTCCAAAAAGTTGTATGTAAAATTTTTGTTGTATTTTAATTAGCTTTATGTGTAGTTTAAATCGCAATATTTAATGTGTCAAAATGTCATACTGTGTGCCACATTGTATTTGAAAATTTTAGACTTTAATGGTAATGAGTAAAAAGTTTTATTTTGAAGTTTTTTTTGTGTTAAGACTTAAAGTCTAGTTATCATTATTTTAAGCCCTATTACAATATGCGTCAATATTTTAATCGAAAAATTTTATGTCTTAAAACAAATTGAATACTATAGCACCGTTACGATAGAACTATCTTTAAAGCTTTCATACCCTTTGTGTTCTTGAAAGAATCAATCTTTTCCTTGTATTTTGTTTGTATTTTTTATAATACTTGTTAGCCAAGATATCGAAAAGTATTAAAAAAAGGAAACTTCGAAAAAATTTTATTCTACATCAAGAACTCACCGCAGTGAAAATTCCTTCAATCCGCAAATCCATTTATTAAAGTATGAGCTCTTGGACTCTGAAAGTTTACTTCGAATGAAAAAAATTCCTAGGATAAAAATTTTGATAATTATACAGAATCGGAATCACTTACTTAATAACTCAATCGTTGACTCCACGACGTGCAAAGAACGATGTATGCAAAAAAAACTCACTATTGGGACCGGAGAAGTTAAATCTACACCTTTCAGTGATACGTTGGATGCTCTAACATTTAAGCGATACCAAACTTGTGTAAATTTTCCTATAATCGTGTTCGTACTTGTTCGAACGCCCTCTCCCCTCTCCCTAGAATATTAATTTCATTTCAGTACAATCTTAAATAAAGAATTCAACACTTGGGAAAAATAATCAGATCTTATTGAATCTGTATATGGGGTGAATTTAACTAGATCTCATAACTAGACCTTGTTTTATTCAATGATTAGATTTGAACAGATTTAATGGGATCTTGTTTGATTTGACTATGTCTGATTTTTGGATGTGATCAGATCAAATCGTAGTTATGCACGTTTACTTGGATCAAGTCAATTTCAAGATCTAAACCGATCTGATTATTTTTTTTTAATAACAATAATTGATTTTTGATTTTTTCAGATAAATAGGCAGATAAAAGTGATGGTGTATATTTACCAACACTTTTTTGTTCATTAGACGAACGTATAAAAGCGGGTGTAAGAGAACAATAAAACCAAAAATTGATAATTCTAGGTTAGTTTTCCATTCTCTATTTACTGTTTATTAAAGGTTTACAATAATGTTTTTCTCGAAAAGTCCACTTGCTTCTATCATTAATTACTTATTTCCATAATTTGCACTTTTTTGCTCTTAAATTTAACACTATTAAATGAATTCACTAATTTTTCTGTTTGAAGGAGAAAAGCTTCAATACACTAATAACAACAACTTAAAAAAAGTCTTCAAAGTGTGTAAAGTAGTACTTAGAGAATTTTAAATAAAATGTAAACGTAAAGATCACGAAACAACTTTAATCATAAGAAATAATGCAACGTATGATTTTTCAGGTGACCAACAAACTTCTGAACGTTGGACTGTGTCTAGAAGATCAGTATGAATTTACAATGTGAAAGAAAAAGAGAAAAGCACAGACAGGTACAGGACACCCCTTTCATCTTGACTTAACTCTACGAGTAGGGATATCATCCAGTTGGAACAGACGTCTAGTCGTTGTGAAAGTATACTAACAATATTATATCTCTGTACCATACCATATCGTCACTATCATCGTCATTATTATCATTGCCATTATCGTTGTGTTGCCGTTGTCATCATCATCAGCGAAAGATACTTTTTAATACATATAAATGGTCACGCGATATCAACGAACGCCTCTACGGTACAGTCACGCAACTTTCTAATTGTCTTCCTGATTGACTCTTACTTTATGTAACAGGCTTGGGTCGGAGATGAAGAAAACTATAGTAATAATAATAATAATAAGTCGCTTTGCTTTGAAATTAATAACTATTTTACTTTATTACTATAATCATCATTGACAACAATAACTCTTTTTTCGATTCAATTATCCTTTGAAGTAAAGTTAGCACCATGAAAAATTTACAGTTAATTAAAAGAAAACTTTTAATTCCATGGAATGTTCTAAAATAATAGGATAATCAATTTTATGCTTCCTCATTTTTTTTTTTTTTATTAACATTGATGTGGAGTTTGTAATTTTTAAGCATAGTGGGCAGTTACAGAAAGAGAGACCAGTATTCTCTAGCAGTTACCAGTCTAGATAGCGACAGTAACAGGTGATGACATTGTCAGCAGTCAGTAATGTAGGCAGTGAATGCACAATGTTACTTTTTTTATTCATTTATAATGAAAAAAAATATTTCTGTAACTCTTTATGAATAGTCAGTCTATAATAAAACTAATCGAAATTGAAATAAAATAAATGCTGATTGTTTGAAAATACTTTTGGTTTTATTTGTGGCTGATTAGTTAATAAATGATTAAATTACAAAAAATGTTTCGATTAGTAAATTTTTTTTTAACCAATTGTCCACAGCATATGCTTGCGGATACTGAATTAACTCTGAAATTTCTGTAGATGTCATACATATTTTTATTACAGGAAATTAGTGAACAAGATTGATGAGTTGGTGGAAACAATTCTAAGAATATTTCTTTTTTTTTAAAAGTTTAATAATAATCTTTAATTCTTCCGATTGTGGATTTTTTAAGCCCCGTAAAAAGGTATAAATTACTGCAGAAATAGTTCAAAAAAATGAACTTTACATGACGAGGCTTTTTATTATGTCACATAATTGGTTTCTGAGTTGGCCTTGAACTATTAGAGAATGAAAAAATTGGGTGAATTGAGACTACATCTACCGTCATACTAATTATAAATTTACCTCGTCTTGCATAACAAATTCATATCAATTGACTGACTAACTGATAAATAGAATAAATTGATGAGAAAATTGTGCAACGTCCCTTCTATTCATTACATCAATTAATCAATAAGTCATTCATAAAATCCCATCAGTCATTATCCTAATGTTTGCCAAACCTATTTTTTATTTCTTTCCTTTACTGTATGCCAGTGTGATAAATAAAATTTTTTCAATCATTTTTTATTGTAAATCGATCGAAAATATTTACTCTTTGTCAGGAAATTTACTGAAGGTCACATGAGCATTGATTGTTTTTTTTTGAAATGTCAAAAGTTTTTGGAAAAAAAATTAAAAGTTCAAAGATCAAGATCTAGTATCCCATGTACCTAATATTTTGATTGCTCAAAAGCAAAAAAGAGCAAAAACGAAGTTAGAGGTAAAAACTCAAGTGAATCATCAAAAGGCCTAAAATTCTTTAAGATTTAATCATTTAGTACGTTTTCGCAAAAGTCCTCTAGGTACGTAGTAAAACTTTCATATGGTTGGATAAAATCGAAGTAAAAAGAGGAATAGAGCTAAAAATTATGATTACGTACCTGCACAATCAAATTTCAGCCTAGTAGGTATGTTTTTTCAAACTGTGCGCATGCGAAGCCGTATTTTTTAAGTCTTTTTTCTGCTTTATATCCCAATTAAATCTATTCAATTGTATGGACAGAAGCTTTAAAACTGATTCTACTGATAAAGAGAACCAAAAAAAAAAAAAAATTAACAATATTTCCTTTCTACACGCAGAAAAAAGTAAAAGGTCGAGCGACTGGAATTCTAGTATGGTAGTAGTCATAAGACAGGCGAGTAAAAATAGGGACGGTTGGCCTGCGCAGTAAAAAATTTACTTTACGTTTCCAGTCAAAATATTTTTGCCGTTCGATTTTACCTCAAAGGACAAATTCCCTTACAAGCCAAGTCCATTGTAATTTATATCAATTAGAAGTTATACATTAATATATTGTTCAATTTTTTTATTGTCACATAAATTTTTTATTACAATTAAAACAAACATTATTCTCAATGATTTATATGGCTTCATTTAATTAGAATTATATTTGTTTCATTATCACTTAATGCATTTTTAATTTGAAGTGAATTTTTTTGTCCTAAAAAATCTCATAAAAACCACCCCCCTCCTTCTGGGCTGTTCTTTGTGCAGAGTTCAATCATTTTCCTGCCTATAAGAAAAATCAAGTTGTACAAATCCTACATGTTTATAAATGGCCATTTGACCGCTTTTAGTAATGCTGTTATCCGAAAAGAATAAAGAAATAAGTTGATTCACACTATTGTATGTACAGTCGAACTCCTATAATTTTTAGCCCCGTAATTTTTAGTTTATGTATATTAAATGTCAATATGCTATAGTTTAATCTATATGTTAACATAGGGCCCCGTAATTTTTATTGATAGAAAAATTGGCCCGAGGCGTAAAAATTATAAGAGTTTGACTGTATCAGATTATGGAGGATAAATATGATTGTTATATGCGCGGGAAGTACTAACTGTGAGAATAAATAATTTAAAAACAATTGATAATTGATAACAACCGTATTTTAATTAATCGATCTCACGACCCTAATTCATAAGTTAATTTACCGGAAAATGTTTATGTTCTCTATTTAATTATTCAATAACTCTAATTAATCCAGTTATAATGTTGACAAAACATTAGTACTTCAAGTCGTTAAAATCAATGAAATTTTATTCTTTAACTTTTTTCATGTAATAAGATTATTTCTAACATAATCTTACGAATAAACAAGATAAAAATATCAGTGCTCTGCAGTGGTTTGGGTGCGACCCGAAAGGTCCACACGACCAACTTCCCAGTGGAAAAAATAAAAAAACAATTTGAATAGAACCCGTTTCCATTTTTTATAACAAATGGAATTGTTATAAACGAAATGAGTATGTTTTTATTCATTTAATATGGTTAGTTACTTCATTTCAGTAAAAGAAAAAATTGTGCGTTAGAAGAATTCAAATATACCCCATACATCCTTTTTTTCATTATTTATAACAAATTTCATTGTTATAAACAAATAAAGTATGTTTTTAGTTATGTCATACGGTTGGTAACATTTTTTTAGTAAAAGAAAAAATTATGCGTTAAAAGTACTCATATATATAGAAAGGGTCCCTATTTTTATTGTTTATAACAATTTAAAACTTATTATTTAAATATTACTATGATCAATAATCACTTGTTAGTAACAATGTTCAATTGTTATGAACACAATTCCATATTATTGACAATTATTATTGACTATTATAGCGTCTTTAACGCTGTTTTCTCAATCCTGACACGAGTTCAAAATTCTTTCATTGCTGATTTTGTTTTTTAAAATTTTTTTTTCGATGAAATTTTGTCATCATATTTTCATACAAGTATTCTAATCATTTAATATTTATATTTTTTAGAAGATTTTGAAATTTTGTCTAGAAAATGGTATAATTTATAAATTGAGAAATTCAGGTCATTTTCCATTTTTGCTAGTTTTTTGGTTCTGCAAAAAAAATGGCTGGACTGATTTTGTTGAAAAACCTAATCAGTTCTAAGTTGCTTAATTACGTGTCGAATGCAGTTGGTTCCACGTCGATATCATTTTTTGTTCTCGAGATAATCGAGGCGAAATATAATTCCGAACGCACATACGTACATACACACACACAGACGTCCACTGGCAAACGGTCGTATTCGACTCTGGGGACCTTAAAACGTGGATATATGTCAAAATTTGGAATTCGCAAAATCGGACCCATTACCATAACTTCCCACTGGGAAGTTAAAAATTACAATTTTTATAAAAAAAATCTGAAAAACTTCTAAAAAAACAATTTTTTCAATTTCATCACTACAAAAATCTGGAACTGATAGTAATACAGGAAGTTTATTATTATTATCAATTTTAGTGATGTGAAGAAATATTCAAGTTCTATTTATTTATCAAATATATTACATACACGCAGACAGTCATGTCAGTTCAATAAAGAAGGTCCACGAACCCAAGGACGACGGGAGTATTTACAAGTTTTATTCACTTTTATTTTTTATAAATATAAATGTATACAATGAACATACGTTTGTAAAAGACTCTCAGAATCATGAAAACATAGCTAGAAAGTAGTGAGAACGATTTCGTTATTACATTTTTCTGAACAAAGCATCGTTCAACTTCGAATTGCCAATAATGATGAATTAAATAAAATTTAAAGTTATTGGATCTAATTTTATTTTTATATTAAAAAAAGTATATAGATATGATAATAAAAAATAATTAATACTTATATAGCACTTAAAAATTACAATGAATCATTTCCAAGAATTTTTACTTAGAAATTTAACATCTGACGTCAGAAAGAAGTAATCTTATTTTGTATTCAATCATTGATTGAATACTGTTTTATTATTCAAAGTATTATTTTTAAAATAACATATACAAGAAATCGATATAAAATAATTAAAACAGTTTTGACAAAAAATTTTTTTTATTTTAAACCTTCGAAAACTGCATCTTGTTGAATTATTTTTGGAAAATTTACGGTTTAAAGATACGCAAAAACAAGATGTCTAACAAGAAAATAATTATACAGAAATTTTTCTTTCAATACATTGATAATTTACACTAGCAATATTGCCATCATAATAATAATATTATTTTTCTTTCATTACATGAATTGTTTAATTTGTCTACTAGTGTTTTTAATTTTTAAATTGAATACTCATTTATGCACTGTTGATATTATAGTTCCTTTTACTTATGCTATTAATCAGAATTTTTTTCAAAATGCTTTCGTAATATAGTGGTAAGTTTTCTAAAAAATCATGTAGATTGGATAATTTTTTTGTATTGACAAAGAAGTCACATGAAATCAAATTTAAGTGTTAGCCTAAGAATAAAGTTCATTGTATATAATAGGATTTAATATTAGAACAAGTAAATCATGACGTCAAAGGACATGAACCTCACAACCAAACAAAGAGAAATAAGGTTTTATCTAATTAGCAAATGTTTCAGCATAATTGTTACTAACAGAGGTTTATCAGAACATGTTGAATAATCTAGTATTGAGAAAAATAGTCTAGTAAAAACGTATAATGATCCACGTAATTTTTCAGTTGATAAAATATCGTAGAGACATGTAAAAATCAATATAAAACGAGTTTCAAATAAATTCATAGAAAAACATACCTTTAACCTTCGTAGTTCGCCATCTGCTGCAGCATGATACACTATTCTAATATCGTAATCAATGTTTATCATTCTATTGTTTCTTTGTCTTACAATCCTTATAACAATTCTTACTAGTAACAGCTTCTAACTTTGTATCCCAACCTCTAAAATGATTTCGTATGGTGAAATGATGTAACAAACAGAAGCAGTTTATTTAATTCGTTATTATTAAACTTGATGATCTGAGTTAACTTATTTCGACGTAAATTGTTATTTTTATCTAACAACACTAGCACTCGTGATTTAGGCACTGGGTAATAATACCGTTATAACATATTACATACAGGGACAGATAGATATCACACACATCTTAAATCTTTTTAACTGCTAGTACACTACTGCCCGGGTGCACACCTGACACAATATGATTTAGAAATTCAGCGTGTGTACACCATTCGGGCTACGATATAATGTTTATCGACTTTCAAGTGTCACCGGAAGATAGCGACTCAACCTAATTATGGCGATAACATTCCTGTAACCGGATCAGTAGTTTTTTCTAGTTTTGAAGAATATGCCAAAAAAGCTTCACACATCTTAAATAAAAAAAAATCTTTCAATAAAGGTAAGAAAGCACCAGAAAGAAAAGAAAAAGACGGAAAATTTTGCCTAGTGGTACACTCCTCGTCATTAATGCCTGGTTCATCAAAAACATGACTATTAGTGTGCACGATTATTTCATGATGACTGAAGAAGTAAGTTTAAATTATTATTATTATTATTATTATTATTATTATTATTATTATTATTATTATTTAAATTAAGGTTCAAAAATGTTTTAGTGGGGATAGTCTATTGTTGTAGGGACTATCTAAAAGAGTATTTAATCATAAACTTTCTAAATTAATTTAGATGTTGAATCTCTATTTGAAAAACAAACTACTCCATCGATAATTGCCCGGATGGTATCGAAGTTTTTGATGGACCAGGCATTAATGACGCCGAGTGTACTACCGCCTATCAACTCACTTGGTAACTTATCAATAAATATGTTGTTCTAGTTTGCTGACAATAGGTAAAAATAGTTCTTTTGAACGTTTTAAACTATTTGTATTATTTCCTTCTAAATGAAAAAGATTACAAAAAAAATGCGAATTCATTATTGTTAGTTTTACATGCTGTTTAGTGACTAAAGTATTAATGGGAGCGACAATTTTTTAAAGCATCCAGACAATAAATGTATAATACATGGCATGAGAATATTCCATAACAATATACACAAGTAAAAAGTAGACAAAAAAAGAGAACATGATAGAATGGATGCCATAAACCATAAATATATGTTAGGTATAGGGTACGTGTGTATTGTACATAGTTTGGAACGAGTCGAGTTTCATATTTTGTCAGTTGAATTGGCCGATTTACTATCACAAAGTTTGACTGCAAAAGCCATGGAAGGATGGAATGAAGAAAATAAAATTTTTTTTTTATAAAATACCGATTGATTAAAATCTGCTTCGCTGAGCAGACTGGCCAGTCACGTCTATCAAGATGAACAGAAAAAATGAGACTACACTTTATTAGATTTTTTGGTGTGTGCCACGTCTATTTTATTTTGATTTCCGTTGTGTTGTAAATTTTCTTTCGTTTTTTCTTTTTATATATAAAACTTTTTAGATCATTTTTCTGTATTTATTATTACTTTATTTTGTCATATGCAAATTTTTTCTAAGTTCATCTTTTTGTTCTTTTTTAAAAAAAAAGTTAAAAAATAAAAGTTTAAAATAAAAATACATCAGTAGACATGGCTTGACTTTTTCATCGTTGATTTACTTCCTTCTTTCCTTCTTTTCCCAGTTGACAACTAATATCCTCGAAGCACGAGTAAAACTTTGGTAGAGTAGCATAAAAGAGCAGATAGATATACTATACCTATTCACAAGGGTCAACTTCTACTACTATTTTTGCTTGAGGCGGTGATCGGATGATATATAAACCATAAAAAGCTTATACGGACAAAGAAATTCAAAAGTAAAATACGAGTAAAAACAAATTTTATTATCATCCACTTCAATTACATTTCACTCTGCAAAAAAGAAAGAGAAAACAATTAATCAATTTTCCTCAAGAAAGTAACAGAGTAAACGAAGAAATAGAATAAATAAATAAATGAACAGGTACGTAGTTAAATGATAATTTGAAAAAAGTGGCAAAAAGTCGAACTTTATAAATGAGTTTTGCGATCCATTTATACAGACACCTCCAAGCTTCGATTACTCACCAACTAAACAAAGTTTTGCTTTTCTCTGATGCTCTGCCTGTATACTCACGTTCCCATCTCTATCTTGCAATAAGGTTCAGCTTCATTATCCTCTTTGCCACTATGCTACATCATCAATCTTCTGTCTTGTATTTAATTTAATATATCACCATTTCCAACAACATAAAAATTATCTATAAACTACACAGTATCCTAATTACCTTAACATTACACATTGTTGCTGAATTAATTCTTTAAAAGAAGGACTTTATTCTATAAAATTGATTATCTCAATTTTATTTTGATAAATATTACTATCTAACTATATACTAAAAACAAATATTCAAGATGGATGAATAAAATAATCATTCATAAATAATAATCTTCCAATTCAAAAAGATCAGCATGAAAAATCTCCCATTCTATTGCTCATCACGTCTTGTGCAATACACACACGAACATCCAATATAATAATACGATTAGCTTGCAAGCACACGAAGCCAAAATACTAATACAATCGCAATACGTTTTAGATTGGGACCCATACTATCTTAATATAAAGCGTTTCGTTGATTCTCATGAACAAGACGAGTGAGGAGGATAGATGGAGAAAGAGAAATAGTGATGAAGATTAGTGCGCATGTGACTGTTATGTATACATCTCTTTACATTCTAACTGAGAAAGGGGGGGTGGCACCCCCTGCGCCCTTCAAGGTTAGCACCGCCACCGACCGCTTGTCACATTATACCACTAACTTCTTTATAAGCAATCTTATCAGTACAATTCTATATTATTTCAATAATAGCCTTTTTTAGTGGATTCACCCACAGTATTATCAACAAAATTATTTGGGAAATTTTTTAAATAAATAAATAGTCTAAAAATTAGCTTGTTTTGGTAATTTAATTAACTAATTTGATGAGCTGTTTTTAGTATTTTTGAAGCATTATAGATTTCTAAGGTACTCTAATGTCTGATGGCGTAATTTAATTGAACGAGAGTACCTAAATATCTTAGTTCACCCCATTCCAGATATTTATACCCTCTTTTACATAAACTAATCACAATCAACACTTGAATGACCGCGTGATATTGCGCATGTAGGGTCCAGTCAAGGTAATAAAGAGGCAAAGAGGTTGCTTGCATAAAGGCACTTTGGTCTCACTTGCTCACAGAAAGGTTTGGTTGTATTGGCAGCGCCCCACCGCCCTTTAACCTCATACCACTGATGCCCCCTCAATTCCATCTCTGTTACCCCTTCTAATCTAACACTTGGCCGATGACGATTGCGACGACGCAAGGCAACATTCGGCATTCGATGTTTCCTTTCTCGCCTCGTGAGAGACAAAGACATGGAAATTACCCCACGATTATTCACTGCGTGCGCATGAGACGGAAAACAAAGGACAACTGATGGCAGGAATGTGAACTAGTAAGAGAGATGGTGATAATACATAAAATAGTGGGAGATCGCGCGCGCACACTTTCAAAGCCGCCATTATTGGTGTTTTCTCTCGTTAGTCTTAGCCGACTCGGCGGCACGTTCATGTGTTTTGTGAATTAACTCAGCCGGTATTTTTCGTTCATCAAGTGTCTATAATACGACGTAATTCTACATTTAATTTTTAATCATTAATTTACTTAAATACGTTGATTTATATTTTTTTATTGCATTGTTGACCAAGTGATTGTGTGATATTCATTATCGTTATTATTCTTCAGTGATAATCAAATTATTTTTATGGATATTATTGTTTGACAATTGAGGTATTTTATTAACAAAATCACAGCTTTGTAGCTTTTATGAACGCGTTATTAAATCTTTTTTCACGCTTTTTTATCAAATATTGCAATACTGGATATTACTCAATCAATAGAACAATCAATAATTTTTCTTGAATAATTTTGAGGATTTATTGATTAATCGTTGAATTAATATTGTTTCGTTAGTAGAATAAATTTAATTAACGTGTTAAATGAAGTTGATACTTGAGATTTTTTTTTCAACTTACTTGTGTTTCATTGTGACCACTTTTTTCGGTTTTTACTAACGATCCTCAAGCTCCGATTAACTTCGGACTCGGCAAGCAACTGCCAAACACTCTCCTCCGGTGGCAATTAAGAAGACGACCTGACTCAACTCTACTTCATTTCGCGCCGGCGTCTAGACTTTGTAGGGTTTAAAAGAAAATTGACCGTTTATTTTATTTATTTGATTGCTCGTACACTTGTCTATTAATTAACATTCTACTCTCACTTCACAACATAACTATTTCTGAATAATTTTTTTTTCTTCAATACCATCAATTAAATAATGATTATTGCAAATGAGTTAGCTAAATAATAACTTTAAAAATTTTTTCAAGTCTTTAGAGACTTTTTATTATTGAAAATGCCAACTTAAGGAACTCAAATAATTAAAATGAAAATTTATGTGAATTTGTTTAAATTATGTGAGTAAAGAAATTGATAAGATTATCTAATTGTTGTCGCGGGTATTTTTTTAGTCTTTAAAAAATTTTTATGATAACAGTGCCAACCTAATAAACCTAAATAATTTCTTAAAAATGGCAAATGATTTTTTGTCAATTATATAAGAAAATAAAAAAAGAAATCTGTCGAATAAGAATCAAAATTTTTTTTTCATCACTAGGAATTTTTTATTATTGTAATACCAACTTAAATAAATGTAAAGAAATTTCTAAGAATTTTCTTTGTATAACAATATTTATTCATTGTCTTAACCATAACTTCACCAGCTTGTCACTTTGTGTTAAAAAATGCTCTAAACAGTAAAAATAATTCCCTCCCTAGAAAACTTTGATATTTGTCATCTTCATTAATTTTGAATTTTCCAAGGTTAATAATCCGGAAATTAATCAGTCATGTCAATTCTCAGTACTAAGCTTACATTAGACCTTGAGACTTGCGTGTATTTGGAGATTAGGATAAACGTGTACGCTAAATGGTGTTTACACACCTCCTAAATCGTACAATAAATCGATTATTTTAATGTCAAGTATTATTAGCAAATACATTATTATCAACTTTTGGCTAATTTTATTTATCATTAAACTTCATTTAAACTCTATAATTTTTTTCTCTTTCTTATTCCGAACCTAATTCAGTTTATTGAGGGAAACATATAAAACGTATTTAAACGTTAAACGAAATAATATTGATACTTGCAGGTCGCACGTTGGAGATAAGATGAAATTATTAAAAATATATAAAATGATTGATAACCAATTGACAAGTTTTAATGAATATTTCATTAACTAGAGTAAAAAAGAGATAGAATAAGATTTTATTTTAGTATTATTTAATTTAAAAAATTAGTTAAAATTAAAATTGATACAAAAGTGAGACAATTTTGAATGAAATTGAGTGAATATGTTTGTATTAAAATAGATAATAATAAAAAAATTGAGCTAATTAAACAAAAAGAATTTTTAAACATTTAATACACAAGTGATATGAGCTAGTGATGAAAATACATGATTTCCTTTCTTTATAAACTTAACTTTGAGTATGGAGTGATTAGAGGATACAGTTGGTGAAATTGCTACAAGCGTGATTTTAAATTTTCACCACGAAGATGTACCCCGCACCGGCGAGACACCCAGCCGCTCCCGTAAGTTCATTATCTGTTATTAAAGTTAGCAGTTAATTATTAATATCTAACTTAAACATTAATTTACTTTACTTCTGTGTAAAAAAAAATTGTTCAACATTTAGTCTTGATAATAGTCCAGTAGCGGTGCAAAATCTGAAAAAAATTTCGAAAGAAAGTCTTTTATTGACAATAAATAATTTAAGACATAGGGAAAAAGAAAAACGATTAAATTTTGCGATATTATACTAAGAAATCTTTTTGAGATCGATTGGAAAACATTCTGTAATACCGACTAATTGGCATGATAACTGTAAAAGAGTTAGCACGATCTTTTTCATTTTTTGAAATCGAATGTCTCAAAAAATAAGCGGAAAAAAAGAAAAGTGAGGTGACAGAAATCTTCGTTAGACAGTAAAGGACAAAAAATGTCCTATGAAGTATCGTCGATTTCTGCATAACTACAAAGTTATTAATGAAAATGTACACTCTAGTCGGAAAAAATTGTTTATAACAAAAATACTCAATGACAGGTACATTTTTTTGCCTGCGAATAGTTTTTTCAGAATCCTCGTGCAATTTTACATAAAAATAACCTCGGTTCAAAATAAGAGGTTAAATTCGCTAATAAAATTGCACCGCTACTAGACTAAAATACTTGTTTTTTAAATATACCAAAAAATTTAATTTTAAAAGTTATCTAGACGTTTAACTATTTTGACGTCAATGATGAAATTATGAAAGATGTCACTACAAAGAAAAAAGCTGTGGTAACGTCGTTATTATTGTGAAGACACTTGTTACAAAATATGGTAGAAAAAAAAGCTACAAACGAACCAAGAAAATAATCATACACATAGATGTCTACGAAATGAAAACAAAAAAAAAAAATACACATAGCAATAGACTAGTCTGATGGGATGTAAAAGTGAAAAAAATTTTTTTTTCGTATGATGGTTACTTATCAAATTGTATTCTGATGGCTAATTTAGAAAAATTTATTTGAATTGTACAAAACTGCACATAGATGAAATAAATGCCTCAATCTCGTTTGTTTAACAGAAAAACATCGGCCAAGAAAATAAATAACGGGAAATCTTGTAAAGAAAACTATTTTGTTATCAGCTATCTAGTGTTTAAAAAAGATGAGTTTGAAAAATAAAACTCAATAAATAATGGAAGGTGGAAAAAAGATGTCAGAAAAAAATAAGGCCAAGACCTTTTGTCAAATGCACAATACGTGCAAGTATACAAAGCGGTCTGGAAAGAGCGTTCATATATTATTTGCAATCCAAGACTCACGCTTACGTCTATACTTAGCTGTTTTTTTTCTCTTCTTTCTTATTCGTATATATTTATTTTTTTTTTATTCTTTTTATTTCTTGCAACTCTCAAGTCTGAGGCTGCCGGCTTTCACAAATACATTTATTACGAAGGCATGTGCATGACTCCGCCTACACACTTATATACTAACGCTATTATTAACATTTGACAAGTTCCTACTGTGCCTGGTCAGTTGGACGAAAAATCGAATTTAAAGAAAACGAATAAATCAGTAAAAAAAAAATACATGTAAATTAATAACGAACAGATAATAAAAGATTTTTTTTATTGCCGGCGTAAGATGTTAATTAAAATAAAGTTTTTAGTATAAAAAATTGAAGAAAAAATTGACTTTATGTTGGGAATAGAAAATAGAGGGCGTCATAATTCGGTGATGAAAGGGAATAGGTATCACGTGGTTGAACAGAAATGATATTGCCTTGAGGATGAAGGAAAAAAGGGCAAGAGAGTAATGAAAAAAACCTTGGGGTTAGAACAAACAATTACCCTGACCCTCAACTATCATAGTTTTACGCCCCTTAAACTTTGTAAATATATCTACTTGGAATTAGGATGTAACAAAAAACAGTGAATTGAATCGAAAAAAATTGAATTCTTTTTTTCATGGATCATAAATAGAAATTTCTCTATATAGATCAAGAATTTATTACCATCTTTCTTTTAAATTTGAACAATGCAAATTATTACCATCTTTCTTTTAAATTTGAACAATGCAAATTTCTGATGTCTTTTATATGTTGGAGTTGATTAAGTCATACTAGAGTATCGAATGATACAACTTATCGTGCAAAATACGCATATTTAAAATTTTAATACACTCTTCACGAAAATTAATTCCCGAATTTTCTTCAATCAATTGCGAATAATTTTGTATTTTTTAAATTAAATTTATAACTGGTCTGTAAAAGTAAATATTGCATTGTTGTCTTAGTATAGTACACTTTAGAGGTATTACTTTATTAGTAAAAGTATACATTTTCTTATCATTTCAAAAAATTTCATAATAGCCGTTTTTTTTTATAACAAAATAACTAATAAAAAAATGAAAGGATTAGCTATTTAAAATCCTTGAGTCGATACTGACTAGACATTATTGTTCAAATTTCACTCAGATCTTATTTATGGTAACATCTTTCGAACTAATTTTAGTTAAAGACGATATCTCAATCCGTTCTTGAGATATCGAAAACGAAAAAAATGCTGACGTCCATACATACGTACATACACACATCATTCTAAAAATTGGTCAGTATGCTTGCAAATACCATGAAACGTGGAGATATGATGAAAATTCAAATTTCACCAATCGACCCAATTTCAATAACTTCCTAATGGGAAGTTAAAAAAACACCTGTAAACGTTTTTTAAAGTAAATATTCAATAAACGTTTTCGTATAATTCATGATTTATTACACATACACTGTAAATCCCAGTTTTCCAAAATGCTTTATTTTAATGCGGATAAGTGTGTTAAATATGACGTCACCTATTTGCTTAACATTGTAGTCACTTCTAACGCAGATCTAAGTGTATAGAAAGTAACTAAAATGTTAATCAAATGGGTAACGTCATATTTAACACACTTATCCGCATTAAAATGAAGCATTTTGGAAAACTGGGATTTACAGTGTACCTGTTTGATCCATATTTATTATAAAGTCAGCGTTGGAATGTTGTTTCAAGCATAAAGTTTGTGTACGAAAAGTTTATGCTGAAGCTAACATCTCTTCAATAGACAGGGTTTCTTTTTTAAATACGTATTAGGTGATCTTACACTGACGAATTCAATTTTTTTGTTTAAAATTTGTAAGTCAATGCTTAGAGGCCTCAAAATCAAAATCTTCAAATTATGAAGCAGCAGTTAGTGCCCATTGCTATAAATTTTTGATTGTAACCTGTTGATAATACTATTGAGTTTTAGCAAAATGATAAGTCCGTGAATCGATTATTGCATATTTATCAAAGATAGATTCTCCTTTTTCAATATCCTTCTCTTATTTTGAAAGATACTTTTTTTTTTAACGACTGCATTTTTTTTTCCATAGAGTTGCCAAACTTCATGAAGGGTGTACCTCAGCAATGTTCACAGCCTTCATTTTATAGTCCAATAAATGAATCATATAAAAACTTACTTCTTCATATACTTTATCGGTATGAATTAATTCTTCATCTTGAATTAATTGTTTTCTATTCAAAATCTTCAATGTCGTATTGTATAATATCTCGCCGATTGATATAACATCATTAAGTATTATAGGTGAAGACTCGGATCCAATTAAATTATTTTCGAAAAGATGACGTTTATAATACATTACTGTATTTTTCAATAATAATTTCGACTTATCACTGCATAAGGATGGTTCAAGAATTGTATCTTCACTGACAAAGGGGCCAGGAAGTTCTTTGCTTTCCGACATTTTGCTATCCAAATCAACGTAGAATTAATTATTACACAAATAAGGAAACACGTCCGTTTAGGGCAAACGCTGAAAATAAACTAACGAACTGTACACTACCCGAGTAGAATTTATTTTTGGGAAAGAGTTCGCATCCAATTCAAATTTCCTAAATTCAAGTTAGGCGCCAAATGGGATACCACATTAGGCCCACATTGGGAATGTAACGCTTGTCCCTATTAGGACCAAGTGAGGAAAGCCTAATTAAGGCAAGTTAAATATAAAAAGTAAGTTTTGTTTGATTATCTCATTTTTTATGATTTTATGTTGTTAAAATACTAATTATTAAACATATTATAATTAAATTTCCGCGAAAATACAGATGCTGCAATTTGTTCCTTGGGGGATCCGAACCTACGATCGCTAGCTTGCTCGCATCTGAGACCAGTGCATTTACCCGCTCGGCTATTCATTTAATTAAAAAATTATTACTATTATATTAATATGAACGAATCCACATGTAAAATTTTTTAACAGATTTATGTAAATCATTATTTATTTTAAATCTCCATAATAAATAATGTTAATGGTTTAAATATTTTCATGCGTTTAAATTATTTATTTTTTCTGAAACTACAATATATTTCCAGTCAACATAATTCAGTTAAGGTTTAATAAAAACAATTAACTATTGTTTAAAGAAAAAACAATATCTGAAAATATATTTATTATTACAATACTTTGTTATGGGAATCTAAAGAAAATACTTAATTTAATAAAAAATTTTTATATTGTTACAAATTCATTTTAAATTCATCCTCACAAAGTTTTTATTTGTTCTTTAAACATTTTAATGAGGATAATGTAATATGTGCCTAATTTAGATGTAATTTTTGTTAACCTAATGCGGACCTGATAAACATTTCCTAATAAATGACGAACTAAGACATCGTTTCAGTTAAGTTTATAAGGTTGTAATTGGGAAGTTATTGGGTAGTGCGAAATTGGGCAAATTTTACTTCATCCTAAAAACAAATTGATCAGGCATAGGTTGGGAATGCCTAATTTACGCTAACCCATTCAATTCCCACTAAGGGCACAATAGATATGTAGGCATGCCTAAAATAAATTCTACTCGGGTAAGAGTAGAATAAGGTGCAGCTGACGAAATCCGAGAACACTACAGACATAGAGGGTCAAGAAACCCTTTTCTTACGATCAGAATTTTTTGTACAGGGGAATGAATTAACGGCACAACGATCGGGTCAAATGAATGAACAT